CACTTCCTCCTTAGCGACCATTTTCTCGGCCTCAGCCGCTCTCAAACTTTAGGATGATGACGCGCCGGGAGGGTGGGTGAGGTTCGGTTCTCCCACGGCACTCCCGCCAGGCGCCGCGGGGCTCCGGGGCGTGGAGTCTGAGCCCCTTCCCGGTGGTAGGTGGAGGCGCTGCCACCACCCGGGCTCCTGCCGGCGCCCAGCCCGGGGAGGAAGTGCGATTCCGTGCTCGAAAAATACCACGTGTTGAACCCTGTAACCTCACAGGCCCGAGGCCTGTTCCTGCTACTGGCCCAATCGCCTGGGGGACCCACGAGGCCTTAGAATAAAGTTATTTCGGTGGTGTTCGGCGGTGGTCCTCGGGCGGGGAATTCCACTCTTAATAACTCATCGATGACTGATGGCTCTGTGTACCAGTGAGCCGTACATTTGGGGTTTCCCCTCCGTCGAGCATTTTTCTTCCATTAACAGCAGGGTGGGAGGAGGGGATGTGGAGGAAGACCACTTTTGAAGGCCAGTTAGCTGAAGCAGCTTAGATCAGTTTAATCAGACGAGACCCTCTTAGTTTTCACGAAATGCTGGGAATTTGTTTAGTATGTTTGTCACCTGAAATAACTACTGTGGTTTAGAGAGTGTTTTTCTTTAAAATATATTTATCAGTTTTGGCTGTAAAATGTTGTGTGTTAGTGTAATCTCGACTAGACCATTATTTTTATTTATATCATCCAATAGTTCGTTTCTCTGATTTTAAAAGTTGTCCATAACACTAACAGATTTTGAGGAATGGTTGAGTACAAATTTACCGAGATTAAATTGAGCTTCATAATCATGAGGGAAAGTGCAGCTAATCTGTGATTTTATTTTGAAGTTAAACAGTTCATAGAAACAGAATTTGGGAAACAGATAAGATCTCTGGCCTGATAAATTGCTAGCATTTTTTCTTATTTCTGGATCAATTGACCTGAGAAGCCAGCTTCACTAATAACGTGGCCCAAATTTGTCCTTTAACGGGTTGTTTTAATACATGTCATATTCTAACATGTAAGAAATTCATTTTTATTTTAGTAGAAGAGGACTTAAGAATGGAATTTAAACTTTAATTAAGTTCATTGAGTAGATCTTAGGATAATGATCAGCTTTTCATTAGGTAAAGTTGATACCAAGATTTGGGGTAAGCAGAACATTGAGTGATATAGCCAGAAGTTGTAAAACTGCACTACAGATTTCCTGCCCTTTTGCTCTGTAAGCAGTAACCCTAGGATCACTTTATAACAGTTCTTAACTCTAGGCAAGATGTACCACTGGATGTCAGATTGGGGCAGATGACTTTGGAGCAAGTAATCACAGTCTGAATAAAGATTTGGTAGAGAATAGCTTGCATGGATTCTAGAGATTGTAAAATGGTAACTTGAAAATGTTAAAACAATTTTTTTTGAATGTCTTGGGATTTGAAAAGTTGAACTTCAGGTTGCCATGGTTACAGTACACAGTATATATTATCAGTCTCTATGAGTAGACCAATACCGTAACTGCCCAAAAGGCGATAGCATTTTCCCACCTTCTATGTAACTGTCTTTTGTAGGTATAATTTGCGTCTTTTCAAATTTTTTTTTCCCGGTGGGCTTCTTTTTTAGAAACTTACTACTTTGCTGGTGGACTTGTGAAATAACTTCTAAAAGTGACTAGTATTGAATTTAATAGAGGTGACTCATTGAAAAGAAGCTCAAGCAAAGTCAGCAAAAAAAAGAGGGGAGCTGAGTAGGTGTGGTCATGATATTGAGCTGACAGCTGATTATCACTATATTCTAGAAACTGGAACTTTCATTTATAAAAAGAAGTGGCCGGAAAATTTGTCCTGTCAATAGCTTTATAGTTACATTGGCATGGAAATTGTTTCGGGACTTCAAATGGACTCTAAACCTCTTTAGGGACTAGTCTTTTTGCTTAAGGATAAAGTTTTTCATTGAGAGTTGTCACTTCTTTAATAGTACCAGTACACATAATTCAGTTCTTCATAGATTCTGAAATTAATTGTAGGGTAGATTTTGAAATTTTCTAGCACAGTTCAGGAAATAACTTTGATTAAATTGTCAGTTAAGTAAATCAGTGACATAAGATAAAATTGAGTTTGTGTGTCAAGGAAGCATTAAAAGTGAGCTGTGAATATTGCTTGCCTGGTATTTTAAAAATTCTGTGATCGTGCAACTAAGTATGTCCAATTACACCACTATTAGAAGGCATGTTTCAGATTTTGGTCTAGATTAATTTTTTATATGGTAATAGGAAATTTTGCCATGAATCCCGGAAATCTCCCCCAATAAAATAGGCATTTTCATTTTTTAGGAACTAGACAGTTTTTGTGTAATATTGTTAGTGAAAGCAATGCCAGTACCAATTTTAGCAAAGTTGTCAAGAAGTTAAAAAGCTTACATTCATAAACTACTTTCAGCCTGTGGATAATCTATTGTGAAAGTCTTATATTGCTCATTAAACAGGTTATATTTGAAAGAAGCTTGGTTTATATTGACTAGGAATAAAAGAGGTGCTTTTGAATTTAATGACAATTAAGGAAGAGATAATTTCAGGATTTCATTATCAGCAATATGCCCTCCTTTTATTTATGGGAAATTTGGGATTTCTGATACTTGCCTTCTCTTCTTGCACTGTACAGTTTAGATCTAGACTAGTATGTGATGTTTGAAAGGTCCAGCCATCTTGGAACTCAAAGAGGAAGAGTTCAGCTGTGAGACCATGTGCCCACCCACTCCCCTCATCATGTTTATGTAATTTTCAGTGGCCGGTATAAATTGTGAAGTCATATTCACTCCAAATATCTTTCCTACAGCGGAGCGTGCTTTGGACACCATGAATTTTGATGTTATAAAGGGCAAGCCAGTACGCATCATGTGGTCTCAGCGTGATCCATCACTTCGCAAAAGTGGAGTAGGCAACATATTCATTAAAAACCTGGACAAATCCATTGATAATAAAGCACTGTATGATACATTTTCTGCTTTTGGTAACATTCTTTCATGTAAGGTAAGCAAAATGTGATGGGTAACCAACCCTACTTAGATTTTTTAGCTTATAGTTTAGTGCTTGAGTGAAATAGGAACTGCTATTTGTTAATGGATATTTTAATTTTGCAAATATTCCGGTTAGGTGGCTAATAGATTTTCTCTGAACACTGGAAAGATGTTAGTCAATCGTGAATAAAGCAAAATGGGTATACTTTTTCCCCCTAGGTGGTTTGTGATGAAAATGGTTCTAAGGGCTATGGATTTGTACACTTTGAAACACAGGAAGCAGCTGAAAGAGCTATTGAAAAAATGAATGGGATGCTCCTAAATGATCGTAAAGTGTAAGTATAAATATTTAGTTAATCATATCTTGAATCTCATTAACACTTCCAAATCCATTCGTTTTAAAAGTTAATACATTTTTAATAGATAAAATTAGAAGAGAAGTTAATAAACTAATCTTGATTTTATAATTACATTTTCTCTACATAATATAGTTGGTTAACATTCAAACCAAAAGGAAAAACAGGAGAAAAAAATAGGTAAATAAGGTTTAAATAAAGCAAGGTTTAAAACTTCATAACTCCTGAGGTACTAGTTAAATAAAATAATTTGCTTTTACATACTGTTAGGACAGATAAGCTGGGACACACACCCAGTAGTCTGAATTCAGAGCCCACTCTTAAAGTGGCCATACTGCTGATAATTCTGTAATTTTTTGATGGGAGTAAAAAATAAAGAATTAAATCCAGTTTTGTGATCAATCTGTCCTGAAATACACTTAATTTTCCTTGAAATGTACGTGTTTTAAAACTAATGGCACTTATAAAACCTATTGTACTAGGCTGTTTCAGTGATTATCAAAATACAGATTTTATGATTTATCAAAGGATTGGCAAATGTTAATTTTGTCCTCAATGCCAGTAGATTTTTCTTAACTACTCGGAGCAAATTCAGCTGTAGGTCCTATTGTCAATGATCTGTAAATTCTTGTTGTTGTGTAAATGGCATAGGTGGTGTGCAGTATGGGTTTGGATGTTCTTACAAGATTGCTTTTTAAAGATATCTTTGATGTGTAAATCCCTGCGTCAAATGGCATGGTATTTGTCAAGTTTCATGATTAGGAAAGACTTTGCAATGTGTAAAGAACCCATACAACTTTATAAGAAAGCCAGTGATGAACCATGCTTACCGAGGCTGACTCTTAGAAATAGTCCCCCCCCCCCTTTTTTTTAAACCAGGGCCTACTCCCAGGCTGTAGTGCAGTGGCATGTAGACCATGGCTCAAGCAATCCTCCTGCCTCAGCCTCCAAAGTAGCTGGGACACCAGGCATGTGCCACAACACCCGGCTAATTTTTTTTACTTTTTATAGATGCTGGGGTTTCGCTTTGTTGCTTAGGCTGGTCTCAAACTCCTGGGTTCAAGCGATCCTCCTGCCTCTGCCTCTGAAAGTACTGGAGTTACAGGCCTGAGCCACTGTACCCAACCGAGATAGTACATATTTAAATGAGAGACAGTCATCATTGTTAGTGCTCACAAATGTAATGCCTGCCAGCAATGCTTTGGTGGGGGGGGTAAAGCCCAACAGTGGGAGGATCCAGATAAACTTTTACTGCTATTTTGTGTGTAACAGTGATATAACCGTTGTGGAAAATAGTTTGACTATATTTAAATAATCTTTAATGATTTCTTTAAGTCTATCCTAAAAACAAATACAGTGTCATTCATAAAGTTGTGGCATTGCCATATGCAACGTTGTGGCCCCTCTATGCCCAACTACTAGGAGGCTGAGGCAGAAGAATTGCTTGAGCCCAGGAATTTGAGGCCCTAGTCATTCATTCATTCATTTATTTGTTAATCTCACTCTGTTGCCCAGGCTGGAGTACAGTGGCATGCTCACAGCCACCGCAGCCTCTAGGTGCTGAGCTCAGGCGATCCTTCACCTCACCTCAGCCTTCCGAGTAGCTGGAATCACAAGCATGCGCCACCATGCCCACCTAAGATCCCATCTCTTAAAAAAAAAGAAAAAGAAAAGAAAGAAAAGAGTTGCAACATTATTTTACAAAGCAGAAAGTGATGTCTACAGTGAAATATACTCTCATTGAAAACATTGGTGAAGCTAATATGAAGAAGCCCCACTATAATTTATGGGGGAATAAAGAAATCAAGGAAACTCATCAATGAATGTTCTTGAAACGATAAAGCAAAAAGATAAATACCTATATAGGCTTATATGAAAAGTCATAATTTGGGTGGAATGATAGGAGATGGTTTTTCCTTAAAGAAAAATTAAGTTTTTTAAAGTAATTTTTGGCCAGACACAGTGGCTCACGCCTGTAATCATAGCCTTTGGGAGGTCAGAGTAAGAGGATTGCTTGAGGCCAGCATGAGCAACACAGTGAGACCTCATCTTTACAAAAGAAAAATTAGCAAGTATGGTGGCACAGCCTGTAGTCTCTCAGGAGACTGGAGCATGGGGAGATTGCCCGAGCACAGGAGGTCTAGGCTGCAGTGAGGCATGATCCAGCCTGGATGACAAAGTGAGACCCTGACTCAAAAAAAAGTCCATTTTGCTGAAAATTCTGCAGTAATGCCAGGCTGTTGTGTTTTAGAATACAGGGTTGGGAAGTTTAAAATTTTATTTTGGGAACTGCAGAGAAAGTGCAAGGATGCTCTGAAATGGCAACAATGAAAACTTTTGTTGAGAGATCTTTCCATAAGCATGGTAGGTACCCACTAGGTTGTACTGATAGACATGCTTCCATTAACCATTTGTTAGCTAGAGAAAAGTGTGTTAAGAGAAGTTTCTTTTTGTGATTGTAGTTAGGTTTATTTATCTCATGTCTTCGTATCTTCAGTTACGATGTTATTTCTACTTTATAGTGCTAGAGGTTCTGAAAACTTTCAGTAGCAATTATACAACCAACCACAGGCTTAATTAATCTGAATGTTTAAAAATGGAGCCTAATGTTCTAGTTCTCATGTATTTCCTTAGATTTGTTGGACGATTTAAGTCTCGTAAAGAACGGGAAGCTGAGCTTGGAGCTAGGGCAAAAGAGTTCACCAATGTTTACATCAAGAATTTTGGAGAAGACATGGATGATGAGCGCCTGAAGGATCTCTTTGGCAAGTTTGGTAATGTGTCTGAATTAAATTTTTACACTCGAAGTTCTGAATAATTTCTTATTGTTAATTTTGGCTAATAAAGTAATCAGATGAGGCTTACATACTCATCTCATACTTAATATTTGTAGGTATTTTGGATTAATTGACCGTTACATTACAAAGTAGTATATAAATAGAATTCTATCCAGTTCAAAGGTTAATAGCATTAGATTAGCACAATAAGGTATGACCAAGTAATTAGGACAGATTTTAAAAGGTTTTACTGCTTTAAGATCTGTGCACTTCTAGGTCCCATTTCATCGGAGGCATGCATTTGACATAGCCAACTTAGAGAGGAACACATTCACTAGTTACAGGCCAGTAGAGCTGGTCAGTCTCAGTAACGTGTTTGAGCAGTTTAAAACAATGTTTTTCAGAGATGAAGCCAAAAATTCAGATTTTTCCAGTGATAGCTCCTTGGAATAAACTTCTGAATCTGTGGGATCTTAAAATACTTTTTTCTTACATTTAAAAGTAGCTTCATCAAAGCTTGAAACTAACGAAATGTAAACCAGCATTACTTTAGGTAGGGAGGTAAGAGATGAGAAAATGAACTTTTTAAGTGTACGTTTGCAGATGATTTGCTTGTCCCCATTCTTTGCTTTTATCATTTTGTGCAAAGGAAATACATAAGGTGTCAGAAAGTAAGTGACAGACTGTCTAGTGACTGCCTCTTTTCAATCGTCTTGGTTCTTAATGTCTTTTAATGAGAAGTTGGAAGTTGTTAGCCACTAATCCCAAATGGGCAGCTTAGTTGACCTCCAAAACACAAATTATGTCAGGGTATTTTCTTGATTTGTTTTACATAGCAGAGTTTGGCGTATGGGCTTAGGACAGAGGCACTTTCAAAGGAAAGGCTTCCCTGTACTCATACGTCTTGCAGATTCTCTGATAAAATGTGATCTTTTTAGCTTTTTCTGCTCCCACTTGCCTGAGATATCGCCTACCTTGGTTACGTGCCTTCTTCCACTGGTGGGGGGGGAATTTCTTCAAAAACATGCTTCCTCCGGGTGATTAGCCTATATGCCTTACCAAAGGGTTCAACTGCATATCATTATTCTTTCCGCTTTCTATTTGAAAGTCAGGTGGGCCAAGGCTTATCTCTTAATGGATATAAAGAAAAATTAAATTATTGAGTAAAAAATGCAACTCTTCTGTGCCAGAAATGAGAATAAAATTTTCAGTCATGTAAAGCAACACCTCCTTAAATGGAAGGAGGAATGTTATAGGGAACAGAAAGTATTTACTTTCCTCTAGTGATAAAGGGTCTGAATAGAAAAATAAGTACCTGGGTCCTGGGAGACTTGGAGGGAATATGAATTTCTGGAGTCTTCAAATTGTTTTTTAACTTACCGTGTGTGGGATTGGACTTTTTAAAATCCCATATTTTTTCATGGCTTTGTTTGTATGTGTTGAAGTATATGAATTAATTGTTGTATGGGCTATCTTTGATTTCTTGAAAAATTTTTAAATGTTTCAGGACCTGCCTTAAGCGTTAAAGTAATGACTGATGAAAGTGGGAAATCCAAAGGATTTGGATTTGTAAGCTTTGAAAGGCACGAAGATGCACAGAAAGTAAGACTTAAATATACTGTTTAAGTGCAATGTGGTCTTTTTTTTTTTTTTTTTGGTAATTGACAGGAAGAAGGGAAGGAATATCCAGTTGAGTTGTGTTGAAATGCATACCAATGACTTTTACATGTACCTTGTATTCTCAAGTATTTGCATTTGAGGCATTATCTTTGAGAGTATAAATTGAGAACCTTGAGATGGTGGGATGGATGGTATATTTTCAGTTTTTGTGACTTAACAAATTTTTCTTATTGTTAAATAAACTCCTGCGTTACAAATTATTAATTGAAAATTTTGTGATTTTTGAAAGGCTGTGGATGAGATGAATGGAAAGGAGCTCAATGGAAAACAGATTTATGTTGGCCGAGCTCAGAAAAAAGTGGAACGGCAGACGGAACTCAAGCGCAAATTTGAGCAGATGAAGCAAGATAGGATCACCAGATACCAGGTTCATTTTTACTTGAACAGCAAAATAAGACAGGGATGAGGAAACCTATTTTACATTCATTTCAGTTACTGCCAGGTAACTGAAGGGCTTGAGAGGGGGATAGGAGAAGCAGCATGGGCTAAAATAATAGGTGTGTCTGGGTACCATCATGGTTTTCTTTTTTCTTTTCCTATAGTGTGTTTTCGTTTGTTTTTTTATTCTTTTTAGGGTGTTAACCTTTATGTGAAAAATCTTGATGATGGTATTGATGATGAACGTCTCCGGAAAGAGTTTTCTCCGTTTGGTACAATCACTAGTGCAAAGGTAAAAGCATATGGTGCTTTTTTAATTTGAGATTTGGGAAAATCCATGCATGTGGCTACATATAAATTTCACATTGATACACTTATTAGTGCGTTAATTAATTAATTTATTTGTTTGTTTTTATTTTATTTTTTTTGAGTTGGAGTCTCACTCTGTCACCCAGACTGGAATGCAGTGGCCGCTCCTGGCCACTGCGTCCTCGACCTGCTGGGCTCCAGCGATCCTTCTGTCTCAGCTTTCCAAGTAGCTAGAACTACGGGCGCATGCTGCCACGCCCAGCTAGCGTGTTTATTTACACAATCCCTTCTGAGTAGTCAGACCCATGTGTGTTCCCCCAAAGAAAATGCAGATCGCATTTCCTTTTACTTGTAGTCAGAGATGAAGAAACAGTAGTAGTATTTTAGTCCAAATCCTGTTCCATTTGTTTTTGTCCAGTGTCTATGGTCCAAGAACCCCTCTTTATGCAAAATTGTGTGCATATGTACTTTTACTTGGTTGGGGACAGCTGCAATGACTCTGTGACTGATCTCTCTACTCAGCCTTTCCTAGCATCCCAAGGGAACTTCTGTGAAGTGAGGACGTGTTAGGAGCAAGGTGGATGCGTACAAGGAAAGATGCAAGTGCCTGGGCTGCCTTGTCTTTCAGCCTGTGCTTTTCTAAGAGTACCTGAAATGTGATTGAATCTATTCCTGAATGTCCTTATCTTCAGTGTGTTCCCTGAATATTGTTTAAATTGAGTATTGTGCATCATCAGTATAGAATGTAGGAAGCATGCATGTTTTTCAAAGGAGAATCTTTATTAGGTCTTTTTAAAGAATCCCTTGTGGATTATATATCACTCACTATTTGCAGGGAGGTGAAAAGGTTAGCAAGAATTTATTCTGGAGGAAGAGGTCATTATGTTAATTTAATAATGCTTGCTGAAAAAACAGATTTATCAAACAAGCTAAAAGGGTAAAAGGTAAAATATGACTCCCTCCATCCCCCTTTCCAGTCTCAGGCTCTTGCAGTTTGGGTATCCTTCCAGATCATTTTCCTTACTGTTCAAACTGAAAACAGTTTTTAGAAGATGAGGTCATGCTACACATTCTGTGATCAGCCTTTTCACTTAATGGTAGATCTAGGTACATATTTATATTTCTAATATTTTCTTTCCTTTTTGCTGAAGGCCAAATATTTGTAGCATAGATGTACCACAATTTACTGTACCTGTATTAGTGAACGTATAGGTTGCTTTGCCTGTTTCCATTGTTAAACCCTTTGTTTACAATCTTGCACCTAAATCTCTAGATGTGGAGTTGCTGGTTAGTGGTAATATATATTTAAAATTGAAACAACCAAATTTTCCCAAAAGGATGAACAAATTTCTACTGGTCTTACAGATTTGTCAATTAGGTAGAAAGTAGTATCTCATCTTTCCAAATTTTTTTTAACTTAGTGATATGCTTTCATGTGTCTATTAGTTTCATGTTTATTTGTTTATTTTTAATTCAGTGGTCTGTCTGTGTTGGTTTAGGGAGCATTTGTTTTATATTGCGAATATTTTTTCTTGGTCTTTGACTTACAGACATTATGTAAGACTTGGGATTTTGTGTCATCTTTGAAGGAGTTTCTCTATATTTTTACATGTTCAGATTCAGCATCTACTTGGCACTTTAGAATTTTCAATGAGATGTGAATAAGAGCTCTAGCTTGACTGGGCATGGTGGCTCACACCTGTAATCTCAGCACTTTGGGAGGCTAAGGTGAGAGGATTGCTTGAGTCCATGGGTGCAGGAGTTCAAGACCAGCCTAGGCAATACAGCAAGACCTAGGTTCTTTAAAAAAAAAAAAAAAAAGCTATAACGTAATTTTTTTCATCTGTTCCAGTGTGTCATGTAGAGAGGAGTCCAAAGTTCTTTTCCCCGCCATTTAAAAATGTTCATAACTTAACATACTAAGTTTCCATAATTGTATGGCTGTTTCTGGACTCTATTTTATTACTATTTGATTGTTCCTGTGCCACTAACATACTGTTAATTTAAACATTTTATTTTTATATCAGGCGTCTAGTGAGGGGTTTGTTTGCATATCTTCATTGCTCATCTAAAAAAATTTTTACAGTCAATTTTAGAAGCTTCCTCTTTGAGTGTTGTTTATCCCATAATAATTTATGAACTCTGCTCTTGAATGTGAAACTTCAATACAGTGTGGATATTGTAGGATTCAACTTCTTTTCTCAAGAGTAGTAAAGCATCTTGTGAAAATGAATTGTTAAAATAATCAAAATTTAATTTGAGTTGTTTCCAGTAGTGCTGATTAAAGATTGAAAATCTAATCAAATCTCTGAATCTGGAACGAGCACTGTGGTGCCTCCACCCCTTTTTCAGCTCTGACTTGGCTAGGATGATGCCTGTGTGTAGCTTGCCCTCAGTATTTGGGTATGAGCAAAGATTGTGAACTCATGAGGTGAATACAAGATGATTACAGCATTAGCAAGGTTTGTTATTTGATTGAGTGACTGTTGTTGACTCTAAATGGCGATTTTTTTTTTTTTTTTTGCCTCATTCTATCAGGGTGCTGACTTCAATATTTTTTCTTTTGATAGGTTATGATGGAGGGTGGTCGCAGCAAAGGATTTGGTTTTGTATGTTTCTCCTCCCCAGAAGAAGCCACTAAAGCAGTTACAGAAATGAACGGTAGAATTGTGGCCACCAAGCCATTGTATGTAGCTTTAGCTCAGCGCAAAGAAGAGCGCCAGGCTCACCTCACTAACCAGTATATGCAGAGAATGGCAAGTGTACGAGCTGTGCCCAACCCTGTCATCAACCCCTACCAGCCAGCACCTCCTTCAGGTTACTTCATGGCAGCTATCCCACAGGTAGGTTTATGGAATCAGAATGGTTTCCATATTGAATCATTTCTGGTGTGTTTTGTGCCCCAAAATTATGAAGTCCCAAGATGAAACACTTTTGAGACACATGTGAATTATGATTGAGTTGGACAAAACACATAAGAGTGCGAAGGCTTGGTAAATGTTTTCAAAAAGAGCATAGTTGCATTATTTCTTTTTTTCTAAAGTTGATAACTACTTTTCTTCTAGACTCAGAACCGTGCTGCATACTATCCTCCTAGCCAAATTGCTCAACTAAGACCAAGTCCTCGCTGGACTGCTCAGGGTGCCAGACCTCATCGTAAGTCTTATTTTTCTTTTATTTATTTTTTAATTTTTATAAAGAGAGGATCATTGCTATGTTGTCCAGGCTGGTCTAAATTCCTGGTCTCAAGCAGTCTTCCCATCTCAGCTTTCCAAAGTGCTGGGATTATAGGTATATGCCACCATGCCATTTTTCTTTTAATTAAGATTGGGATTGGATTTAAAAAGAGACAGATTAGATGTCCTGTTTCAGTGGTGTATTAACTTTTTTTTTTAATATAATTAGGGATTATAGGTGTTTATTTTTGACATTCCAGCATTTTTTTTTAAAAATGCATTACCTTTCCTGTCTTAATGAGATACTAACATCTACACTGGTTTGATCTTCCTTTATATAAAAGTCTTGATGCCAGGCTCGGTGGCTCAGCCTATAATCCCACGCCTTTGGGAGGCTGAGGTGAGTGGATTGCCTGAGACTGCGGGTTCGAGACCCGCCTGGGCAACTTGGTGAGACCTCATCTCTACAATAAATCAAAAATTAGCTGGGCATGGTAGCACATGCCTGTAGTTCCAGCTACTTGGAAGGCTGAGGCGGAAGGATCGCCGGAGCCCAGCAGGTCGAGGCTGTGGTGGCCAGGAGCGGCCACTGCACTCCAGTCTGGGTGACACAGTGAGACTCCAACTCAAAAAAAAAAAAAAAAAATAGAAAGTTGATATTTAGTCACATGTAGCCTTTTATGCAAACCTTAGCTCTGAAAAAGCAGCATGAACACTCTGACTCAGAAGTCAACTTTCCCCAGTTAATACATGTTCCAATCTTTCAATGCAGCATTCCAAAATATGCCCGGTGCTATCCGCCCAGCCGCTCCTAGACCACCGTTTAGTACTATGAGACCAGCTTCTTCACAGGTTCCACGAGTCATGTCAACACAGCGTGTTGGTGAGTCTTAACCCGTCCTTTAAGGATTGATCTCCAATTTGAGATGGCAAAAACGCAATACAAAGCTGTTTCTGCTTTTTAGCTAACACATCAACACAAACAATGGGTCCACGTCCTGCTGCTGCTGCTGCTGCAGCCACTCCCGCTGTCCGCACCGTTCCACAGTACAAATATGCCGCGGGAGTTCGCAATCCTCAGCAACATCTTAATGCACAGCCACAAGTTACAATGCAGCAGGTATGCAGTTAGTGATTTCTTTATAAAAAATGACAGTCCTTGGTTGAAATTGAAGATATGAAAATAGCTACATGATATGGGATCTGGAACACCTTGGTAATTGATAGTAATTTAAAATATCTTGTGTCTTATACCATAGGAATTAGACAAGCAGCCAGAAGTTCACATTCTGAATTACTTGGGTCGTTTTCTTTGATATAGTTGAAAAGTTTAGTTCGCTTGTGAGATTGCTGACTTCTGCTGACCCAGGACCAAAACTGCTCATAATAGAACTATGAAATGAAATTATATCAAATGTGGTTGTACATATTTGAGCATATAGGTAGCTACTTTAGCCTGCATTTCAGATTCACACAACATAGTAATGCATTAAATAACTTGTGTTCAGTGATTGTCCATTGATGACTTTGTACTTGCCTTTGCTTCTGTAATTTGAAGTTACAATTTTCTCATTTTATGTCTAGCCTGCTGTTCATGTACAAGGTCAGGAACCTTTGACTGCTTCCATGTTGGCATCTGCCCCTCCTCAAGAGCAAAAGCAAATGTTGGGTAAGTGCCTTTGGACCACCTTGTCAATTACAAGAGACTAGAAAATATAAAGTGTACTTTAGACACTCTGTGCACCTAAAAATGGCAGCTGGAGCAGTGGAATTTATCTGAATTGGAATGAATGTTTATGATAGCACAGTTGATCTGCTTAATTGAAGCTAATAAGGAAACGTGTTGTGTTGGTAATGGTTTAGGGTAGTATAGGGTGTTGCTTACCATGGACAACTGTTGACTTTACCTAAGCACAGATTTGACAACCTAATAGTAACATTGTTTAATTGGCAAGCTGATAACGTTGAGGATTAATTGCCTTGCTAGGCATCTTACTCTTTTCTTCCTATGAAAGATAGGAAATGGTGGATTATGTGTTAGCATTTATGTTGCATACAGAAGTATGGTTCCTAAACCCCAATGTAATGGGGTACATGCCACTAAACATTTTTTGGTTAAAGAAGTTTTTTGGTGTTTTGTTTCCAGGTGAACGGCTGTTTCCTCTTATTCAAGCCATGCACCCTACTCTTGCTGGCAAAATCACTGGCATGTTGTTGGAGATTGATAATTCAGAACTTCTTCACATGCTTGAGTCTCCAGAGTCTCTTCGTTCAAAGGTAATTAAAACTTATCCTTTACCTAGTTGTCTCTTGTTCTGTGTATTCCAGGACTTACAATAGGAGTTTAGTTCTTTTTACAGAATGTTCCCTTAGTGTTTCATACAAGTCATGTACAGTTCTAAGCATTTTGTAAATCTGCATAGTAGTCTGGTGCCATTATCCCCATCTTACCCACTAGGGAAACTGAAGTACAAGTTGAATAATTAGCCCAGTGGGCTTACACAGCTAGTAAGTGGAAGAACCTGAATTCATATCCAGTCATCTTTGATCCAGCAGCCAAACTCCCACCTGTAGCTGCTTTCTCTAGTGGAGAAGGAAGAAATATTTGCTGATATTTGAAACTTCTTAAAATTTTTTTGACAGTAAAATGTACATGGGAATTTCATAATTCTAAAAGAGTTGTACAGTGTTTTGTGATTTTTCTTTTTGAATAACAATTCTTTGTACTTTTCATCCGAGTAAAGAAGCTTATCTTTGTTGGGAATTTGTATATTGTCACTTTGAAACTGTTTGTTCCCAGTTACTCATTTTCTGAGCCAGTTTGTTGTTTCCCTCTTATTAGGTCGATGAAGCTGTAGCTGTACTACAAGCCCACCAAGCTAAAGAGGCTGCCCAGAAAGCAGTTAACAGTGCCACTGGTGTTCCAACTGTTTAAAGTGAGTTTTTTTCCTCTGATTTATTGTCTGGAGCCTTTTTTGGTTTTTGTTTGTTTAAGAGATAGACTCTCACTCTGCCACGCAGGCTGTAGTGCAGTGGCATGATCAAGTGATCCTTCTGCCTTAGACCCCGAGAGCTAGGCCTACAGGCATGTGCCACCAATCCTAGTCTCATTTTTTTATAGAGGCAAGGTCTCACTATGTTGCCGAGGGTGGTCTTAAACTCCTGGTCTCAAGCAGTTTTTCTGCGTTGGCCTCCCAAAGTGCTGGGATTACAGGCTGTCGTGCCCAGCCTTCTTCGTCTTTTAAAAGTTTGTTGACAGACTCAGTGGCTCAGCCTGTAATATCCCGCACCTTGGGAGGCTGAGGTGAGTGGATTTCCTGAGCCCGTGCGTTCAAGACCCGCCTGGGCAACTTGGCGAGACCTCATCTCTACAATAAAAAAAAAAAAAAAATCAACCGGGCATGGTAGTGCGCACCTGTAGTTCCGGCTACTTGGAAGGCTGAGGCGGAAGGATGACTGGAGCCCAGGAGGTCGAGGCTGCGGTGGCTGGGAGCGGCCACTGCGCTCCAGTCTGGTTGACAGAGTGAGACTCCGACTAAAAAAAAAAAAAAAGTTTGTTGAGCATACTTTGAAACATACAAAAATATTAATTATACAATTCTTGTAAATATATTGCTAATTCTTCAAAGGGAAGTGGAAATATAGAAGTATTTGTACCCTGGTATTGACTTAAATTTTTTAAATCCCAACACCTTGAAATAGATTTTATATAATAATTTGATTTTTTTTTTTTTGAGTTGGAATCTCACTCTGTCGCCCAGACTGGAGTGCAGTGGCCGCTCCCGCCACCGCAGCCTCGACCTGCTGGGCTCTGGCAATCCTTCCGCCTCAGCCTCCCGAGTAGCCGGAATAACAGGCACACACTACCACGCCCGGCTGATTTTTTAATTTATTGTAGAGATGAGGTCTCGCTGCCCAGGCGGGTCTCGAACCTGCTGGCTCAGGCAAGCCACTCACCTCAGCCTCCCAAAGGCGCGGGATTACAGGCTGAGCTACCGAGCCCGGCTTTATATAATAATTTGTATGCATGGCTTTTGTAATTACACCTTTCCTTATTGGGTAGTGGCTACATGGTTGTCCTTGGCCTCTACAGACTCCTTTCATTGCTCCCAAGAAACAGGATAATTCAGCTACACAGCTATGTGCAGCTAAGATCAGTACTAGGGCTAGCAGACCTTTTCTGTAAAGGGACAGATAATAAATATTTTGACCTTTGGGGGCCATGTTGTCTCCGTTGAGATTTCTTTGCTCTGATGCTATAGTGTAAAAGCAGCAGTAGGCAGCACATAAACAGGTATAGCTATGTTCCAAAAGAAAACTGTTGACAGACACAGGCAGAACAGTTTGCCCAAGGGCTTTTATTTGCTACGGACAAGTGCCATTATTGGTCTTAATTTTTTTTTTTTTTTGTCTGCATTTACAGATTGATCAGGGACCATGAAAAGAAACTCATGCTTCACCGAAGAAAAATATCTAAACATCGAAAAACTTAAATATTATGGAAAAAAACATTGCAAAATATAAAATAAACAAAAAAAGGAAAGGAAACTTTGAACCTTATGTACCGAGCAAATGCCAGGTCTAGCAAACATAATGCTAGTCCTAGATTACTTATTGATTTTAAAAACAAACAAAAAAACCACAAAAAAATAGTAAAATATAAAAACAAATTAATGTTTTATAGACCCTGGGAAAAAGAATTTTCAGCAAAGTACAAAAATTTAAAGCATTCCTTTCTTTAATTTTGTAATTCTTTACTGTGGAATAGCTCAGAATGTCAATTTTGTTTTAAGTAACAGAATTGATAACTGAGCAAGGAAACGTAATTTGGATTATAAAATTCTTGCTTTAATAAAAATTCCTTAAACAGTGCATGGTTTTGCTTTTTTTTTAATTTCAATTTTCTTTGTAGTTGACATGCATAAGTAGATAATGTCCTAAGGGTACTGAGCTGGAAGTAGTTGGCAGAATCTGATTCCATGAAAAAATGTACAATTAAAAGTTCAAGAGTGTTTGGGTTTTCACATGGACAGCACAAGACCATTTGTCTTGAATTTTATGAATTTCAGTTTATCTAGAAAAACAAAACTGATACTGCTCAAGTTTTGAAATTATGTCAGTTTATGACTATATTGAGGTTTCTAGGCTAAAAGGTTGTTAGCTTAAACCAACTTTTATATAGTATAAAACTAACAGCAGCTACTCTTCTTTGGAGAAGAGGGTGTTGAGGATATTTATAGACTTTATGATTTTAATATTGATTAAGGTACTCTTTTTTTTTTTTTTTTGAGTTGGAGTCTCACCCTGTTGCCAAGACTGGAGTGCAGTGGCCACTTCCGGCCACCACAGCCTCGACCTGCTGGGCTCTGGCAATACTTCCACCTCAGCCTTCCGAGTAGCTGGAACTACAGGCGCACGCTACCACGCTGGCTAATTTTTTTGATTTATTGTAGAGATGAGGTCTTGCCAAGTTGCCCAGGTGGGTCTTGAACCCACAGGCTCAGGCAATCCGCACCTCAGCCTCCCAAAGGTGTGGGATTACAGGCTGAGCCACCGAGCCTGGCTTAAGTTATTCATTTTAAAGGTCTTTATTAGGTGAATGATTGTGACTTAATTTCAGTATAATACCTTATCACCCAAAGGTGGTGATAGTGGGGTTCTGCTGTTCATTCAGAAGTTGGAATTTGAAATCTGGCTTGGGGCCCAAGATATCGCATAAATCCCATCCCAGGCAACCTGTACATTGGAGAACATAGGCTCTTTTAATCTCCATCCCATTCTCTGGGTACTAATGCCAGGTTTCGCTTTTTTTTTTTTTTTTTTGAGTCAGAGTCACTTCGTTACCTAGGTGGAGGGCAGTGGCACACTCGGCCACCGCAGCCTTGACCTGCTGGGCTTAGGTAATCCTTCCACCTCAACCTTTCAAGTAGCTGGATCTGTAGGCGTGCATTACCACACCCAGCTTATTTTTAGATTTATTGTATAGACGAGGTCTCTTCAGGTTGCCCAGGCTGGTCTCGAACCCCTGGGCCCAGGCAATCCTCTCAGCTCAACCTCCCAAAGTACTGGGATTACAGGTGGAGCCACCACACATGGCCAGGCTTCACTTTCTAGGTTGCACATGTTATACCATTCTAAGTAACAAACAGCTCTATTGCCTTTGGGATTAAATAAGTACAATAAAACCCTAACTTGAGACAGTGACAGCCCTCCCATTCTGGTTATTTTGTATTTGGCTTGATCATAGGCCTATTCTATCTTCTAAGGCTTCATTTCCACAATGTCTTTTGAGTCCGAGAGAGACCTCATTGCTTTAGGAAGGCAGGGAAGATAGACCGTATTTTTCAGAATTTTGACAAAGATGGTTTGAATTTTGAGGTTTTAAAGAAACAGACCAGTTTGAGACATTTGAAAAGCTGAATCTGTTCAATCTCCCACACAAGTTCCAAAGTCACCAGACGGTTTGCACAGGCTGGGTAGTTGGTCATGGGATATGAAGATAAGCATGTTCATTTGTTCTTGAAATGTCTTTGTTTTCCTAGACAATGGCGGAACCAGCAAACCTGGGAAATAGTCCTTTGTGATCTTGCAGGTATTGTTTTAGGAAAAATGAACATAGTTGATGTTCATTATTTAGGGATTCTGTTTGCAAATTTGCCTACTCACTAAAATGGATTTGTAACCCCTAAAACCTGCATGCTGCACTCGTAAATACGTCCAGAGCAGCAGCAAGTTGGGGCCACGTGACATCACACGTTGCCATGTGAGACTGATGCTCTGCCTTGTATACCCAGTCATGCCATAAGCAAGTGTCCCTTTCACGGTCTATTTAGTGCCATGTTCTTGATATTTTTGTGCTTTTGGTGCGTTTGCTGTTTGTTTTTGGTTTTTTTGAGTCAGCCTCTTGCTCAGGCTGGAGTGCAGTGGCATGCTCACAGCCACCACAACTTTGACCCGCTGGGCTCAGGTGATCCTTCCACTTCAGCCTTCCACATAGCTGGAATTACAGGCACACGCCACCATGCCCGGCTAATTTTTTTATTTATTGTAGAGACGGGGTCTTGCCAAGTTGCCCCGGCTGGTCTCGAACGCATGGGCTCAGACAGTCCTCTCACCTCAGTCTCCCAAAGTGCTAGGATTGCAGGCATGAACTGACACGCCCAGCTGCTTTTGCTGCTTCAAAGGGTCCCGAGCCTAGTGTGGAAATGCTGTCTGGTATTCTTGAACACCCAAAGGGTGTGATACGCCTTGTGGAGAAAATGTGGGTTTTGGGCATGAGCTATATGACTTAGTGCTGTTGGCTGTGAGTTCAGTATTAATACTATATGTTTAACAAGGTGTCTTAACAGAAACATAAAACAAGGTTATATTAATTGATGAAAGTGTAACCGTCCTATTAGAGTCTAACCCTGCATTTCCCCTAGGGGCAACAACTAAGTACAGGTTGACTTTCCTTGAGCTGAAATACTTGGAGCAGAAGTGCTTCAGAGTTCAGAAATCTTTGGATTTGGGAGTTTTTACATATAAATAATGAGAGATCTTGGGGATGGGACCCAAATCTAAACATGAAGTGCATTAGTTCCTTATATTCCTTACAGCCTGAAGATGATCTTAGACAATAGTTTTATGTCTGACTCACCCATCACATGAAGTCAGGTGTAGAATTTTCTACTCTTGTTGGCACTCAACGTTTTGGATTTCGGGTTTTTGGCTTAGGGATGCTCAACCTGTATTTGCTAATTCAGTGTTTGTCGTGACTATAGAACATAACTGCCATGAATAACAATATTTGACTAGTTGTATCTGGTAAATGCACAGTTGATAACCTACAATAGTTTGTTTTAAAGTACCTAGGTTCACAGCAGGATTTGAGGTGAAAAAATAAGACCCTTGACATTTATTGGACTACCCTATGTCTTGTCTTTTTGTTTTCTGAGTCAAAGTCTCGGTCGTCCAGGCTGGAGTGCGGTGGCATACTCACAACCACTGCAACCTCAACCTGCTGGGCTCAGGCAATCCTTCCACCTTAGCCTTCCGTGTAGCATGAACCACAGGTGCATGCCACTATGGCTAGCTAATTTTTTTATTTATTGTAGAGACAAGGCCTTGCCAAGATGCCCAGGCTAGTCTCAAACCCCTCGGCTCAGGCAATCCTCTCGCCTTGACCTTCCAAAGTCCTGGGATTATAGGCGTGAGCTACCGTGCCTGGCTGTCTTTCCTTTTAAAGTGTATGCATACCTGCATCATTTGGAAGTTTTGACACAAACTCAGTTGATAGGTGATCTTTTGTTTTTCAGCCATGGGTACTAGCTGTATAATTATGTATAATTAGAAACTTTTCTAGCCTACAGTCTCCTTTTCTCCATGTTTACACGTATGCTGAGACATGCCTGGATGAAATTAGCAAATGCGCCTTGCTTACAGCATGATGTCATTCGTCTTCTTGTCCTCCAGCTCAGACTAGTGGATTGCTAGTGAGAGACATAGCATTCTTATTCTTTCAGTGTAAAATCCTGATGCCAGATTATTTATTTGCAGGGAGCATATGACTTTGAAGAGGATCTGGATACTTACATTAATGAGTACATTAGACCAGTTCTCATGAGGGCCAAGTAAGATCAGAAGTTTAGTCCAAGCTGGAAGCAGAATGGATGGAGTTGATCACTGTCTTGGCTATTGCTGTCGAGCCATGATGGCCTGACACACGGCCAACTCTAGGAGACCAAACCAGTTATAGGGACATCCTTGAGTGACCCGCTTAGGGCAGGCATGCCCTTGGACAGTGCCAAGCTACACGGATCAGTTCTTTATCTTCCTTTTTGTAGGTTCTTAGCGACTCTCCCTCTTCTGTAAATAGAGCTTATCTTCAGTTAGACAATGGCATAGGCTGGATTTAAGGGTTACTGGTTACACTTTTCTGCAACATTCAAATCACTTGGGTACATCTGTTGCTGTACCTTCTCCACCTAGTTGCAAGTGCTACATAGATACATGGCAGAATTACAGAGTAGCCTAATTTCAGGTTTTAGGGGGAATCGTATTTAGCAAGTGTAGCAAGTTTGGAAAAGGTATTAATGGCAAAGGTAGAAAAAACAAGCAGTTTATTGACTTTCTTACTGACAATATCCCTAGAAAACGTGAAACAACGTGGGGTATTCGTGAGTACTTGCATTCTTCCTTTAGAGGAAAAGCTCTTCCTGTTGGAAGTCAAGAATATTTGTATTTTTGAGAAAGATCCCACAAAATACTACATGTTATGATAACGCACATATGAGCAGCTGGATTTATGGTTGATTTGGGGGTTTTGTTTCTATAATTCTCCAAGTAAAAAAGTGTGTGATAGCATGGAATAATTTTTGTTATGCACATTTCAAATGACCAACTGTGCCAGCCTGACATTCAAAAGTATCTTCTTAGCTCTTAAATGTTAACATTTCCCGAACTTTTTTTTTTCCTTTCTTTTTTTGAATCAGGGTCTTATTCTGTCACTCGGCTCAGTGCAGTGGCATGATCATGGCTCACCACAGCTTCAAATTCCTGGGCTCAGGCGTTCCTCCTACCGCATGAGCTTCCTGAGTTGCTGGGACGATAGGTGCATGCCAGCTAATCTTTTTATTTTTTGTAGAGACATCTTGCTATGTTGCCTAGGCTGGTCTCAAACTCCTGAACTCAAGTAGTCCTCCCACCTTGGCCTTCCACAAGTATAAGCCACCGTGCCCAACCTTATTTCCTAAGCTATTTAAATCAATAGAAAGCATTTTGACCATTTTCTTAAGCACAGAAAATTATAACGTAAAATGACTCAAATGCTAGATTTGTATGCTAAACATATGTCCTTTCAATTTTAATTTTTTGTTTTTACTAGATCTAGT